TTGATTGCGTCATTAAAAGCGCTGATGATACTTTATAATAGCACATGCTCAAAATGGGCTTTTAAACTTTAATGAAATTATTTAACTATTGATGGATGCATTTATGGCTGCACTCAGATTAATGAAAATTAAAATGAATTTCTTATTAAATTAAAAGTAAAAAGTATATTTGGCTATATAGAGGAATAAATCACGTAGTACAGTAACAGTTAAACCCCCCAATAATAGTTTGACAAAATAAAATAGCGATTAATGTATGAAATATTAGTACAAGAGACAGATTTTTGGAATTTCTACTTATTTAATTCATAGCTCAATTTATTTGTTACGGCTTATGTTTGAGATTAAATAATTTTTATGTTTTTAAATACAAAAGAAACTAAGTAGGTACAAGAAAACTTTGCAGTTTATAATTAAGTGCAATAGGAAAAATATTCAATGTAAATGGATCTAGCTTTGGCTTGGATGTCGCTATTCAAATATTTTATGAAATTTATAACTTATACTAGTTAATAAAATTCAGTGCCAAATATTAATCTGTGCGTTTATTGCGACCAAATTGTGATATCGTCCGTGGTTTTGCACGTGCAAACAATTAGGTTTATATTTTATTTATCGTTGTGTACAGATCAACACATGGTGACCGTGCCTTTGTTTGAGTTTAGCAAACATAAACCCTTCACTCTTATAAAAAATGAATTTGAACTGCTTTTGATGTATATTTAAAGTGAACATGAATTTTAAATCATAAACAATGATGCAATATCGTGATAAATTGAACTATTAAATCAAATTCTCATTTATGAAGGTATTATTTCTGCAGTATTGACACCAAAGTACTTCTGAATTACAGATTAAAACCATCCATCTGCTGTTATATAATGCACATTTTACAAAAGCTAAAGGGGTATATTTAAAAGTGCAAAGCTTATTCAAGTTAATACCCTAAATTTACAAAGCATAAACTTCAAGGTACAATAACATTTTTCTGAATGTGCAAGTAAAAAGATTTTTTATTTTCTATGTGAAGTATAAAAGGATTTTAGCATCTGATCAAACTTCGTTAACTCAATAAATTATTAAATTAGCAAAGTGCGAATTGTACTCATTTTCTTTTACCCGACTGTGAAATGAATGTTCCTTTGTGAATGTAAGTAGGTATGAAGGTACCTATGTAAATGATATATATACATATATATATATATATATATATATATATATATATATATATATACAGTATATTATATATGCAGTATTTTCCATAGCATTTGAATTAAATTATCAATATAAACATTTATTAAAACTGAAACTTGATATAGTTGAATAAACAATAAAATATTAACTGTACACGATATTCGTTGAAACAACATTCAATATTATTCGCTGGTTATTTTTAATCGGAATTTTGTTGTTCCTACGCTTTACACATGGAAAAACACTAACTATTCTTAATTTCCATTATTTTATTCTAAATGTTTTACTGCATTTTTAATCTTAAGATGATCCTTGACCAGATATTTTCAATAATGCAATGTATACGAATACTCAATTAAAATATAAAGATAACCATTAGGGTTAATTAAAATTCAAAACACATTCTACAAAGAAATATATAACCTCTTAGGTGTTCTAGTTAATATATGAATGTAATGTATTTAATTTTCTTGTTATCTTTAACTCTGCTCGGAAAAAAGATAAGAAACAAAATTCTCTATCACGATTTCGTGATTATGGTTCGTCGTATAAGTTTATTACTTCATACCCTTTTATATGCGATGATATTTATTTTCTTATGGCGCACTTACAGCCAACATTCTGAATATATAGAGAAGGTTTATACCTCATACGTTATCGCGAATTACTTTCTGGATTTTATTTTTATAGACATATTTTCATAGTATTTTAAATATATTGGTTTATTATTACACGTACGTATTCATCTATACTGAAATTATATGCACACGCAATGTTGTTATGACATAGCATAAAGGTTGACGAGGAAACATAATTGTTCAAACGCACGTATGAAAAGTCGTAAAGTTACCTCAAAATATCTTTTGGGATATTACGGAATTGATATTCATAATGCAAAAAATAGTATATATTACCTGGTTATACATCTGAGGTGAAAGATTCCTATTTCCTCAAATATATACCTACTACTATTCTTGCTTAGAGTAACGATCTTGGTTGTTTTTTTCATAGTATCCATATGAACAAACTTCATTTGATTCCATAAAACCAAAATACAAACGGAAAACCAAGTTTTATTGAGTGTGAAAGAATTTGCTCGGAAACCGATGGAATAATAGAAAGAGGACGATATGTATTTTTTCAAATTAAAAACTTTACGAGTATAGGTCGTGCGAATGCATGGCGATCCTATTAAGGGATTGATTTCCCAAGCGGTTTTATATCATTTCTGGAAAAGATACGCGCGGCTGCGTCGCCTTGCTCTTTTCTATTTGTTAAGCCATTTACTGACTTAAATTAAGTCCAAAAATAAATATCAGGTTGTGTAATTGACATTTAGAATATTAGTAATAATTTAAAAATACGACGAATGAGAACAGAATCAATCTCACTCAAATGAAATTACACATTGCTTCAAATATTTTAAGTTAAATGTTATTGAGAATTAGAACTGCGAATCAATTGATTTTATTGCTCAATCTTTAGTCATAATTTACTTTCTTAATTAATACTAATGTTTGAATTTAAAACTCAACCTAAGATCCTACATATAAAAATTTCTAGCATAAATATTAGTAGGTACGCTTTGTGTATCTTGAAATTTTATGAAAGAAGCAATGTTACTTCAACTTATTATACATATACTAAGATTTAGAATAAATATTTAAGTCAATTCGTAGCACTATTTTGGAGACGATAATTGCGTTTTATTTAAATTGGATAAAATAGAGATTAGCTAGTCAAACCAATATAAACATTTTGCAAAGATCACAAAATATTTTTTTTAAAAATACTAGAGGTGCCCAACTATGTCCCAAATAGGCTAATCCACCAGGACTCCAATGAGGTAATAAAAGAATCAGAATTCATGCATCTAAATACAAAATTAGACTTGAATATCATCCGAACCAACTTCCAGAAGACTTGCATTTCCAGTAATGATATGAAAAAAAAATACAAATTTGACCATAAACCATTTGACCAAATAAGTTACTATTTTATATATGATCACAATCAAATAAAACATCATATTAAAGATTAAAGAGAATACTGTAAAGGTAATAATTATAAAAAACAAATATGAGAAGTAAAAAAACTATAGAATTTATGTATCTGTAAAATGACCCGAATTTTATCGTTGAAATGTTTCCAATAACTGTTTTCTTCCGACATTATGCGATTTTCTTTTTACGGGAAAAGTTAAATGCTAGTTGACCTTATATTGCTTCACGACATTTTATTTTACTGATTTTTCCTGGACCGCCTTTCTCTAGGACCATAACCGTTTGGAAAATCTATAAAACCAACTGACCGTCTTCTATAAACTCGATCTCGTGCTTTGCAATAAAAGTGATATTGCATTTTGAACTCGAGCTTTTTACATATTTAAAATAATAAAATTCGCATTTTTCAACATAAATTTAGTAATAAAACTCGGCAGACTAGCAATCGTTAAAAATACATTCATAGGTAAAATTAGTTATAGCTTTCATGACGTTTCTGTAAAATCCGTTTTACAAAAAATAGATTCAATAATCAATTAGATCTATTTTTCATATGAGATATATTTAGGGTATTTTACAAATCTACGGAAAATTATATATATTTCAATATATAGAAATGAATATTACATTTGTGTGTGCGAGTTGTGTATTATTTCAAATAAGTTTGTAAGGCGGTTGGCGCAAACTTGATATTAATATGCAAATGGTCGTTTATTATTCGCTCTTGTACTCACACTCCGATTTTGCTTATGTACAATAATATACAAGACTTCAATTATACCTAGATTCTATCTCACAATTATAACCACAACCACCATACCATTCCGTTGGAATAATCAAGTAAGCAAAGTTTAGTAAACTAGTTCCTGTACATGTGTAGGAAAATGTGTATTATATATAATTCAATACCGTCTCATTGCTTACTTATTAAAATGATTAGATATTCAATTATTGGATTTGAACTATAAATCGCGAGTTGATTCAGTAAGTTCTGGTTTAAATGAGATTGAAAACGGTTTCTGCGGATATTCAGGGAAAAAGCAATCATATGTTACTTTTGTTGCAGCTCGTTGTCGGTCTGTATTATATCCTAACATGTGTTCTTAGCTTTTTGTTATATACGCCAATATACTGAAAACAAAGTATTATTGAAATTTCAAACTTTTTATGTTTAATTTTTTTTTAGTTTCGAATATATTTTTGCGAAAGATATAAAAAAGAGTTATCAATAATAATAAATCAGAATCATAATACAATCATAATACAATTATTTTTACTAATTCTCATATCTGATTCAGATTTAATTTTAGATGATCAGTATAATGTGTGATAGTTTATGATCTAATTTTAACATCTAATATATGTACTGTGCAGTTTGCCATAAATCTGGTTAATTATTATCACTGAACAATGTATAATCAAGAGTGACATTTCATGGTTATTGAACATCTAAATAAGCAGGTTAATGTCGCTAATAAGTTTCGATAATAATATATTGCATATAAGGCTACTTAAATGCATCTAGCAGGTTAATTTTGTTACATAGCAAGTCTGTAATATATATTATCATTTTACTATTTTTGTATTTTCGCATCACATAATGAGTTTAGCAAATATACTTGCTTAAAGACTATTCCACCTAAAATTATGTATAAGTAATGTCTCATCAAAATATGCGAAGAATATTCTCAGATCTGACTCTATATTCGAGAAAATTGATAATATGATTTAGTCAGAATGGCATTCAAACTTTCACCTCGATTTGCACAATACATATGCTAATATATAAAAACTTTTTTCCAGATTCGATGCCCACAAATTTCGACGGGCCGCAGAATATCACAGTGACATTTCTGAACCCGACATCTGTCCGTGTGTCGTGGGCATCTCTGAGCAATTCGCCCAGGAAGTATGAAGTTATGTACAAACCAACGGGCGCCAGGTGGGTAACGGGACCTTTCAGTCCTTTCGAAATTGATATTGAACATTACAGCAAATTTATCAGTACCACAGAAATTGTGATAATAAAAATTGCCTTCTGTAAAGCCGGCGTAGTTATGTCAAATAGTCACAATAGCTTATAAAATTCTAAAGTTGCGACCGCTGTTTAACCTTGTTTTTGCTCAAATGCGTGAACATATAGTAAATTCAAATATACCTACGGTTGATCACAAAAACATACATATCCAATATTACGATTACAATTATACGTGAGTTTGAGCCCGCGCTCTGGAAGACCTAATGTGGTGCAGTAGCGATGTCAATTTTTACTTAAAGATATAGATTAAAAAATATGTTTTCATTTGCAAATAATCCAATTTCTGGCACTGCGTAGTGAAATGGCAATGGGAAATCTCTCACACTATTTTTCCCTGAATCAAGTTGGAGTTTAACTCAGCTCACGGACCCTAGGGCAGTACTACCCATTACTATTATTATGCAATATGCAAGGCTCTGCACTTTTGGTCTAATATTTATCCGTCTCATATGAGCGCCAAAGTTTTATGGTAAACTGTGCTTTCTATTGCATGAAAATGATATATTTTTCTATAATTTAAATAGATTTCACTACAGTCTTACAAAAATACAAGAACTTATCTATTTTGTGATAATTGTATATATTCGGTTTAAATTTTGTCTACAAATAATAAAACTTTGCACTTTATCATATATGATATTTGAAGTGAAGCCAATTTAATATAAAAACGTCAAACTCAAACCATTTTCAGCTTGTTTATTACAACAATGATGAGAATTATCTTTGTAATCGTAATCTTCTGAAAAATAGCTTGTACTTGTGGGAATTTAATAGGCGGCGATTTTTAGCCGCTAGAAGGCTGAGCTTCAGAAAGATGTTAATAGTACTTAAACCTAAACAATAACAAAAAACAATTAACCTACCACTTATTTATTATTATTGTCCTCATTCTATTTTTATTTTAGCACTCGACCTCACATATAAATTCTTTAGACCGTTCGCTACCAGTATGCCCCATATGAAAAAATACCTTTTCGTGGAATTTTGTAACCCTTCAAAAAAACCTTTTGCTTTGAATGATTTGTGCATTCATCCGTCCGTCCGAAGCGCATAAATAACGTCAAAAACGTTTGGGCTCTAAATTTAGACATATGACATTTGCTGGATCAAAGTTGAGAAATCAGATCAGAAATTGAGAAAAAATAATAAAGTTTATGATGATTTGTGTATTGATGTTCGTTATTTTTATATTCGTTTCTATATCTATATTTAACTTAATATTCATTTATATTTACACGTATCTACAGGTGTTATTAAATATTTATATTATTTGTATTGGTGTAAAATTAGTGAAAATTTTGCCCAGAATAAAGATAAAATGAAGTAATAATAATTGTAAAATATATTTATCTGAGCGCGTGTTTATGGTGCCAAAGCATTATTTTGAATATTTTAGATTTACAATTTTTCAAAAATTTTCTCAAAATGTAAGTTTGAAATGAATCTGGAAGATATATTCAGATACTTGAGCTTTATTGTTTACTGACCAATTCAAATAATACAAGCATTTGCTTGAGTTCACTTTGTAAATTGCCGTGGTAAAAACTAAGGACAGTATTTACAACCATTCGTTTTTATTCTATTTATTAAATAAAATGTGTTCATAGCCTACTTATAACTTCTAAGTAAGTCCAAAGAGGAGTAAAATGAAACTCCGGTTCAAAAATAACGAGCTACAAACTAGACGAGAGGTAAATGCGGATGTAACTATTTTCCATAATATGCCGCAGAGTAAATCTGCGTCGTTGCTGCATAATTTATCCATAACAAAGGCTCATGCATGAAATTCCAATTATATCATAATGGCTTTTGTGGCATGATACATAATTTTGCAGAATTATGTATTGAAGATAAAGTCAAGATACGAATAATGATATGAAAACTCGACACGTAGACCTTGAACTTAAATGACAAGAATTTATATGACAAAGATTTCACACACAAGTGTTTTAATTTGGATACTTATATCATATAACCTGCCACGATTGTATATTTGTTTTAAGAATCCGCCTACGAAATGGCCCTAATATTTGACAGCAACTTTTTTATTGCTTTTATTCTTCTCTATTTTAAACTACGGCCTCTTCATCTGCTACTTTATATTTAATTTATATTTTTTAACGTTAATTTATAGTTTAGTTAGTTGGAACATTACGTAGGTACAATATCGATCCTAAAAACAACGTATGTAACGTAATGTCTTCTATATAAACTCCTTCTATATAAATGTCCTTCTATATAAATTAATATAAGTACGTAAAATATTATTTTACAGTGTTTTCAAGAATACTTTTAAGTAATGTCAAAAGCATCAATGGGTTCTTTGCCTTTATGATTTATAACACTATCAAAATTGAAAAATAATAACTTCACGTTGATGATTTTATATATAAATTTGCAACAAATTAATTTTAATAAGTTTTTATCAATAAAGATGAAATTCTAAAAATTAAAATAATAAGTCTATTTAGACCAAATTATCATAAACCGATCTAAAATATCTTTTTTATATATCATTTTTTTGATAGATATTTGGACAAATAATTACAACTGATATGTGCTTTCTGCAAACTAAAGTTTTCACGAGGATTTTAGTAAAATAAATTTTGAACAATTAATTATACAACTATAATTGCATCATACTGTAAATACTTTAATAAATACAATAAAAGCAAATAGAAACAAAAATGAGCCATTTCGAAATCTTTTACATCGCAATTTAGAAGGTGGATGAAAAAAAAAAATTGTAAAGTACATCAAATAATACAGTGTATGTGAATATAAAATTCAGATTTGATTGACTTACTGACATGTTATACTCTTTTGAAATTGTACAAAAAAGAGTAAAATATAACACAAAACAAAAACAAAAAAATAATAGTTTTTCACCATGAGCTTGTCTTTACTTCATGAGCCATTGCAGTCATTTCAAAATGAATTGATGATTCATTAGGATTGTAATTTGTGTATATAGTATCTGTAATAATTATGTTTTATTATTACAGAAATGTCGTGTTCAGTTTTTTGAATTGTATTTGTTAGTTACAGAGTGGTGGCGTCGATCAACAGCAGTTCGGACGCCATTACGCTCGTGGATTTGCACCCGGACACCCAGTACTCGCTGACGGTGACCGCGGTCTGGCTCAACAAGAAAATCAAGAGTCGAGCTATTGTCTTCCGAACACTAGGTGAGAATCACTCATTTGCATTCATTGATTTTTTGTTCCTTTCATTTAAAAAAAAAAATTTGCTTTTTTAAAAAAATGATTATTTGTTTTTGTTCACTTAACTGATTACTTAATGACCAATGACGTTTTCGCCAAAAATGCGTGAAAATCTTTAAGCTCATTTTTATCGAACTACCTCAGAAAATTGTACTAAAGTAAATAGCCAACAGTTCAATTTACTTGATATTAATTTTAAAAATTTGATGATTCAATCAAACATTTAAAGTAAATTGGAATAATTAAATAAAATGAATGTTATTTTTACCGCTGTTGGTTCAATAACATAAAAGTATTCTGTGAATTTAACCGTGCCAAACTTTATTTTTCATATAATATTTATTCATTTAATAGGCATATCTTACACAACTAAATTACGCCGATTGGTATGAAGATACATTTTTACATATTTGTAAAAGATACATCAATTTTTCCATATTTCGATAGGTCATTCCTTTAAAAATAACATACCAAAATTTCAAATCGATATCTTAAATAGTTTTTGAGTTACAGTCATTTAAAGAGTATATATATAGTATATAGTATAACGATCATTTTATCTTTAATCGCGTTTTTCTCGAAACAGCATTTTCCGAATTTGCTGCAGCGATTACTAAAAAACAAATGGTCATTATCAATTTTTTTTACATGTTCTGTGCATAGATGCTCCGTAAAATAAACTATCAATATTTTGATCGGATTAAAAAACGAATTTTGGCAGTCCAAAAACGACCAAAATTTTGCGTAAAATTCGACTTTTTTTTAAAACGCCGTCATTTTGTTAATTTTTGATTTTTTTCTTCATCGTAGTTCATTTTACAGACAAAAATATCTAGTTTAACAAGAATTTTTCTTTTTTAAATTTCATCCACGTAGAAAACCAAAATCACTGCGGCAGTGAAGAGCCATTTTTTTGTCGCGCCGTTCGAGATCGACGATAACTTAAAAAATATTTAATTTTTTTCTTTAAGAATTTTGCTATGTATTCTCTAAACATGTATGAATATATTACCAAAATTTTGAAATGATTGATAAATTAGTTTTATAAGTTCCCAAAAATCACCTTTTTTTACACTAGTTGTGCCCCTTAATTGGCTTGTAATTAACAATCCATTATTATTTCCAAAAAATAAAACAACTTTTCCAACAATTCATTTTCTAAGAAATATTCTTTTCTAAGTAAATTAATTTCTTTTCGAAAATTCTAGCTCGGCAAAAATATTAAAACGAGTTTAATATATTATGATTTAATTACCATAAAACTTGAACCATGCATTTCATTAATTCAATATGAGAAGACAGTTTAATGTATAACCAGTTTTATAATTCATAAAAGATAATGTGATAACGTGCTTTGGGAAAACGACTCAAGAATATTACAAGATAGTGGAAATGTAGCAACGTCTCCTTTGTGATATATAATATTTAATATAAAGACGACGAAAGCTTTGGGATATAGATATCATTAGCAGAGGTTACCATATATATGGAAAGCAGAGATCAAATTAAGTTAAATCACCTGGATTAATTTATGCATTTTTATAAAACTTTGGTGGAGCTATTAGAATCGATTTGTGTGTTTTTTTTTACTTAAACAATAAAGAGTCAAAAATCCAACTGCAATTTTCAAATAATAAAACAAAGAATATAATTCCAGTGTTTTAGTTTTTTTGGATTAATTATAAAGCGATATATCGATAACTAAGGCGCTCTGAAAATGTTCATGTCTTCTTGACAGAGCTCCCAACTAACTCTAACTCTTCTTGTTTTCTCTGTGAAACTTTAAAACTACTCCAGATTAGACTACAAAGCTTGTTCATGAGCTTTCGAAGTGAAATATTCCATAGACGATATTAAAGTAGCATTTGTAAGATCAAAACTTCAGGTAAATTTCTAATTAAGCACTTATTTGCATTCAAAAACGTAAACTAAATATATAAAAATCGTGAAAATTCAAGAATTAAACACCGCAAATTTCACTACAAATTATAAATAGGCTTAATTTTATGCAATTGCAATTTTTTATATTTTCGATATAAAATAAATAATAATTATAACTTTATCATTATAATATTGTGTATATTATTATACTACTTAGCTCAATTTACGGACACAAAGTAATATGAAATTTTAAAATAGCGTAAAAATTAATTATAGAAAATGAATGAATCTTGAATAAACACAGAAAAATTTATAAACTTACTCAAAGTTATGTATTAATATATAAAATTACAAAATTTACTTTCACAAATTTAAGCCCTTTAAAAGCTTGCTGAAATATGCGCAATGATCATGTATTCTGTTTTTATAAGCAAGAAGGTTTCGCAAAACAGAGAAAAATAATTACGTTTCGTGTGCAGTATCCATTTTTTTAATTGTTATGACTGCATACGTTGTTAAATTAACTGGGCGCCGCACACAAGTAAATTTCATTAAAATTCTGCATAATTATATAGGACGAAATTTAATCTGAGAAAAAATAACCACAGGAATGTACATGGTAATGATTTGAAACATGATTACATGTTGGGTTGTATAACGGAGAATATGATGTTAATATAATATAAGTCAGTATAATAGTACGGACAAGTTAAGATTGATAATAAAAAAATGGATGGAATTTAATATTTATATAGTCTTATATTTTTTTTCTATATTTTGTATTAAGCCTTTTATTACCATTATTTTAATATGCCTCTCTTCGCAAATAATTCCGTGTTTCATTTTGTCTACAATTCGAAAATTCATCACAATCGTTTTCATTTAATTTGGACAAATACTTTAAGCTAAAAAGTGTTAGCTTTGCTCGGTCGGCAAAGTTACCACGACGTACAAATATAATGCATTTACGAGCAAAAATATAATTCCAGCGCACGAATTAATCGGTGATGAAACAAAGCGGGAAATTGCATCGTTTGTTTGCACTAATGATTTTGCTCGAATGTAATTCACAACAATTGAAAAATTATAAAAATATAGTATCAGAAACAGAAGGAGTGGATGGAGTTTTGCAGTAGTTCTGTGCGTTGAGTAATTTGATATTATTTGATCTCTATAATATTTCTATATTTCTGCGTATTTAACACATTTCCGCAAAATATAAAGAATCATTCACATAAAAAAGCGTTTTTAATGACAAATATTGGCTAAAACTATAGTAGCATCAT